GACTTCCCCATAAAACTTGTTTCATCTAGAATTATGAAAAGTTTCGAAGCAGCTGAAATGCTGCGCCTCTCTCTAAGACTGCAGGGCCACACTTGTCAAGGCTCATTACGTGTGTGACTGTGTATATGTACACACACGTGTGTGAGAGACGTAGCTTAGTATTACTTTATTGAAATATTAGCAGAACAAAATTAATATGGTTAGGATTTTAACTGGCTTGATTTCAGTTTTAGTGCTTCTTGTTCTTTACAACAATAATAAAATGGCATAGTTCTACTATTGAAGTAAAGGTAGTAATGTTAGAGGAAATCACTTATCTTTATCAGTTGCTTCCTAAATATTTCTACTGTGATCTGTGGAAAAAAAATTGTGCTAATGGTATTTGGAAATATATAAGCTGATTAAAAAAGAAAAAAATCTTACATACACTGCATAGTTATAGGTTTCTGTCTTAGGGAAGGTTTTGCAAGCAATGCTGGCATCCTAAAATATATACATTGATGAAGAGAGTTGTATACACACATACTTCTTCATTTATGAGTGCACACGCAGACGCATATTAAATATGAAAATGTGTATTTTATATGTGAAAGTATTATTAATTGTGCGTACTAATAACACATGTACGTATGTGTTATACCTAAACGTATTTCTACACAATTATTCCTACTTAATTTTATTATGAACACGTCATATAATTCATATGTAATCTACAAGAGCAAATTACTCCGAAGGAGCCATTACTGAGAAGTAATCCTATAATACTTATAAAAGTAATATTTAATTTATAGATTTTATTGCATTACTTGTATAGCCACAAAACTGAAAGCGAGAGAAAATTGACTCTACCGCCTCCCCCATTTTTCTGTGGCCAAGATTTTGCATGAAAGATTGGAAGAGTATTAGGTACTTGTTTGTTGTAAAATCATGTGTTTCCTTTTAAGTGAAGACTGCTAAATGCCAACCACTCGATATATTAAACAGCATATTTGTGGTATCCTATTGCAGCTCAGGACTGGACTGAGGAGCATAGGGGAATGCGGTTTGCAAAGAACTCTGCTCAGATATGTTCTCTACATTGAGACATTATTGGATTCTGAATCTCTCACTTATATACAACATTGTGGCTTTTTCCCAGCCCCAAAAGAAATCCTGTTTCGACCTTACAGTTAATAGAATGACTCCTAAAATGTAGAACATTTACTCAGTTAACTAATGTTTTCCCATCTTTCCTTGTTTAGCACTCAGGGAAATAAAATCAATAAATAAATACAAATCACTTCAAAATCCACATGCCATGTTAAGCTTTGAAGTTTTTTGAGTGGAGGGCGGCGGGGGGGACGGGGGGCGTAGGGAAATGTACACATCCTCGCTACATGGTTTTCCGAGGAAAAATTTTCTTTTGAAACCTCTAAGCGACTGGGAAAAACCCCACATTTTCTGTTGGAGGAATAAATCCATGTTTATTTGTGAGCATGTTGCTATTGAGACATACAATTATTAGTGGAAATGGCACTGGGTTACAGGAGTTTACTCACTGAGATTTGTTGATGTTGTTGATGTTGTTGTTTGTTTGTGTGTTTTCCGAGGAAAAATTTTCTTTTGAAACCTCTAAGCGACTGGGAAAAACCCCACATTTTCTGTTGGAGGAATAAATCCATGTTTATTTGTGAGCATGTTGCTATTGAGACATACAATTATTAGTGGAAATGGCACTGGGTTACAGGAGTTTACTCACTGAGATTTGTTGATGTTGTTGATGTTGTTGTTTGTTTGTGTTGTTTTTGTTTGCTTTTATCTTGTCTTTTCTCTATCTTCCTCTTTTTCTCTTTTCATAGGAGAATGTTTCCTCCATTTAAAGTGAGATGCACTGGGCTGGATAAAAAGGCCAAGTACATTTTATTGATGGATATTGTGGCGGCTGATGACTGCAGATATAAATTCCATAATTCCCGGTGGATGGTAGCTGGCAAAGCTGACCCTGAAATGCCAAAGAGAATGTGCATCCACCCGGATAGTCCGGCTACAGGAGAACAATGGATGTCCAAAGTCGTCACTTTCCACAAACTTAAACTGACTAACAATATTTCTGACAAACATGGATTTGTAAGTTCATTTTCCTTTTGATTCCTCTCTTGTTTTTTATTTAATTCCTATACCTCACCCCCATAATACAGTTTTCACCAGAACTAGTCAATAAAGTTTGCAGAGGCTGAAGTATGGGAAACTATAGAATCGAATAGCTCTGGAATATTGCAGAAAGAGCTTCCAAAAGGGTTGCACTGATTTTTAACTCGGTAATGAACAGTTTTGTAGAAATAAATAATTAACCCTTCTCTGTAATACCCTCCTGTCCATCTCAGCAAAATTACTAGTTTCCTTTTGATGACTATTTTAATCTTTTGGTACATCTAGAAAACCATTGGAGCACTAGTTTTAAAATATGGATAATCCTTTTTTTACTGTAGGAAATTGTATGAGTATGTGCATTAAGGTTTTCAATGCCTGGGAATGCAAATATTTAAATATATATTAATCAAGATACTGTAATGCAAGTCAGAGAGAAAATAAACAGACACAAAAATGAATGGTCCCCGTTCATTTTTACTCACTCCATTACATTTACTGTGTGAGCAGCGATAAAACCTAACTTAATACATAAAACAAACAAATAGGCTGATAAGTGCTAAAAGAAGGGTTTTCTCTCTCCTAGGGAAGATTCTGCACAGGACTAGGGAGTTGGGAAATCTCTAATGTTGTGAATATTACATTTGCTTGGCTGTTGGATTAGATAATACGTTTTTTGCTCTTCCCAGAAGGTTTTAAATGGATTGGGATGGCCTATTAGTTACAATTAAGCCCCTGAACTGTTTTTTCAAATTAAAATACATGTTGTCCTTATCGCAAACTATTCCTCCAACCTTCAGCTGCTGCCAAAATGCTGTTGGCTTTCACCATGTATAGGTAGATGTATAGATAGATCGTTTACAACTGAAGATGGTAGCTGTCCATGCGTGTGCGCTGTAAGGTGTGCGTTGGGAACCGAGAGAGAATGAGTCCATCCTTGCCAGCGCTCTTTCGAGTCTGAGTGCCGGGTTGTGTCTGATTGTATCGCCCTCTTTCCCCTTCCAATTGCAGACCATTCTGAACTCCATGCACAAATACCAACCGAGGTTCCATATTGTCAGAGCCAACGACATACTCAAGCTGCCCTACAGTACGTTCAGAACCTATGTGTTCCCTGAGACTGAATTCATCGCTGTGACCGCATACCAGAATGATAAGGTAAGGCGATTAGGGAGGGATTGTTTTACGTGTGTTGGGTTTTAATAAAGCTTTTCCTAGACATTGTTGCTTTTACAAATCAGGAAGTCTGCTTTTTTTTTAAACCTTTTTCCCCAATGCAAACCAGGCTTCTCCTATCGCGTGTCCGATTTGCCTTGGAAAAGTATTTTAATGGGAGTCTACACAGACTCTGCGTGTGCGGGAGGTGTGTGTGTGTGTGTGTTTTCGGCGTGGATTTAGTGCGAGACATGTGCGGGGAGGAGACTGGGGCCGATCGGTGATTATAAAGACAGGCCAAAGCTGTGTGCTGCATGCAGTTTGCCGTGTGCTGTAGTTTGTAATGCCTTTGGCCTTTGCACTAGTTTACCTCGTTTAACAACATTGGCGATAAGGATGCAACTCACCTTTGTTTCCTATGATCATTATTATTTCTATCCTGCAGTGGTTTTATTATTGATTTGAGTGGGGGAAATGTAAGGGGAGGGGAGCTCTAGAACAGAGTTGAGCATTAAGGGCTGAAGAAACCAGTGTGAAAAAGTTGTAGAGTTTCAGATTTTCCTTTTCATTCTGCCAGCGTGTTGGTTGCATGCAAGGAGTTATGTTTGGAAGACTGGCGAATGCTGAATTTATGATAATGGGGGGGGGGGGGGGAAACCAAAAAGCCAAAACCTGCTTCTTTTATTTTCCTCTGTACGCATTGTAACTTTTTTGTTAAACTAAGAGTGCTGGATTTAAAGCACTGAGTTGCTCAACTTTTGCGATATGAAATCCTTGTATTTTCCCTCTCCTATTATACCAGGAGATTTTTAAAAGTTGGAAGATTCCTCACCCCTTAATTATTATATGTTAAAGAGCTATTTGTCATCTGAGGGAAGGAGAGTAGTTTACACTGTTTCAGTAGGCGTATTTTTTTGTAAGTAAATACAATTAAATTTTCTGCAAGGCAAGATGGTTTTGCTAGTAACGGTTGTCGCTTGGGGCCGTGACTTTGTCGCAGAATAGAAATAAATGTACTTGTCTTATTGCCATGAAATTGCGTGTGAAGGGTATTGTAATAGAAGCGAAGTGCCCCTTCTAGTGTACTATCTCAGCAACACTGCCCTAGAGGTCAGAACCCACATTCCGCAACTCACCTAGCCAGACCTTTGATAGTTTCAAGAAGTACTTTTCATGCAATCGCAGGGTCATGGGCTTAACTTTATAGACCGAAGAGACGCTATGAAAAGTTCCGAGAATCCAAACCAGAAGGCATAAGTTACTCCTTATGGAACTGCTTTGCTTTCTACGCGGAGGTCGTTGAATTATGTATGCATGTATGTATGTATGCATGAATGAATGAATAAATACATAAATAAATAACCCCCGCCCCCGATTTTGTAAATGAAACCATTGGTGCATTTTTCTAGTATAAACTCCGCGCCTCTTATTTACAAGAACTCCGCAAACTTGGGAGAGAGGCTTAAATCTGCCCAGTGTCTCTTAAGACCTCATGGGCTCCACCGGTTCTTTAAACGGGCTTTAAAAAATGTAAAGGGGTAAGCGAAAACAAATGTTTTCAAGGGTAACTCAGTTCTTTTAATCTGAAAAATCTTGATGAATTACGAGGCGTTTTCAATAAAATCAGCTCTTCTGTTCGTCCCTTCCCCTCCCCCCCCACACTGACATGTAACTATATAAAGTACTTTATTATAGTAAGGGGTGGTATGATCCGTTTGCGGTTTAATTATGGCATTTAAAGAGTTTAAACTGAGGCATAACTTTAATGGATAGCAGTGCACGTTTACTTTGGTTCCAGCGCAATATTTGCAACACTGGGTTGCCATTTTCATGGCAAGCCCTGGTATGCTATTGACTAAGCCCGTACCTGATGAGACAAATATGTCCTTAGAACTATGCAAGCCAACGTATTACGATGTTTAGCGTCACCAAGTAATCTGCTTGCACCTACCAACACAAAAAAACTTTGTACCTCCACTTATTGATTTTTCGTGCTGTATGTTCCTTGAAGAGTAAACCTACTGCTGTATTAATTGCAGGAAAGGGAGGAGATTTTGAAAATATAAGTCGCTTACTTGTGGTTCTCTCCCCGCTGTTTTTTTAGATAACTCAGTTAAAAATTGACAATAATCCATTTGCCAAAGGTTTTCGGGACACCGGGAATGGAAGGAGGGAGAAAAGGTAAGTCTGAAAAGCTGGGTCCTGTTTTCTCTTTTGCCAACTTTAGAACATATCCAGAGGGCAATATAACTTCCATCTTGCACCAAACTTAGCCCCTTTCCACATCAAATTTAATAACGAGCGGGAGTCAAACCGATTGCAGATCTTGTTTCTATCTTTATTTCGGCATCTTCAGAAAAGAATGACACGTGGCCAAGGATGGAAATTTCTCTTAAAAGTCGAGGATATTGAAGTACGTGTTTGTAGCTGGTACTGAAATATAGGGAGCAATGAAGTATAGATTAGAAAGCCCATAGTTAAATATAGGTTATTGTTCGCATTGGGATCTTCCTCCCGGTACTAAAAAATACCTAATGTATACTGAAGAAAAAATATAATACATCTCTTTTATAGTTGGTGCCCTGATTACAGAATTGCCTAGGGAAATGTCTATGAAGTAGAAGTATTGAGTATTCTGGATAGAAACAAGCAAATCATTTTTATTGTGGCAAAAGACTTACTTTAATGCCTCAAAAGAGAGACTTTCCTTACTGGGGAGGGATTATTTTATCAATTTACGATCAGTTTTCAAAGCTAAAAATAGTTTTTAACCCTTTCCCTAATGCCCATACTACCATGCCAGCCCATCAGAGAGTAAAAACAAACCCCATACTGAAGCCACAACACGGAAATTATTTCTAACGTCTCTCTAAATATAAATAGATTTCACTCCGGGTTAATTGTTGGTGAAAAGATTACATAAAGTGCCTAGCAAAATAACCACTTCCTAGCAATCTTAGCAACCATTAAGATGCCTGATATCCCAGGAACACCCTAACATTTTAAAAGCCAATCGCCTGGGAATGTTTTCCCTCTCATTTATTTAATACTCTGCCCTCTCTAAGTACTGATGCTAACAGCTTCCAACAATCTCTTCTCATTAACAGACAATCCGGAACGTTTTAATTCTGCCTGAAAAAATGTGTTCTCTCCATGACTCCTGATCTGTAATAAATGGGGTCCAGTCCCCGTTAAAAACGTGAAAAAATGCAGTAATGTAGTACAAAGTCATTATTACTACATAGGGTGACCCGGTCACGCTGCATAGCCAGGCTGTGCCCGCTGCGCTGGCGGTAGTATGGTGCAAGAGGGCAGTTGTGCTAGCAAGAGGATAACTTGAACTCCTGGGCGAGCGACAAGCCCCGCTTGAAAAAATTCTCACTGTCCCCGCAGAAAGCAGCTGACCTTGCAGTCCATGAGAGCTTACGACGAGAGGCAGAAAAAGGAGACCGGCACCTCCGATGAATCCTCTAGCGAGCAGACCTCCTTTAAGTGTTTCGCTCAGTCCACATCCCCCGCTGTGTCTGCGGTGGGCACATCCAATCTCAAAGGTGAGGTGTGACCCCGTCTCCTCCCCGCATGCATCTTGAAGGTCCCTACACCAGACACCGGCCATTCTTCATCTGTGTGTTTTGTGTTGGGTTTTTTTTCCTTTTTGGCTTGAAGGAAAAGTTTTATTCCTGACCAAAACTTCTGGCTACAGCGAAGCAAATGATTTTGAACATGCATCCGCTAAAGGCTCTTTAGATATACAGACCCACATCTCTTCCCTCACCCCTCCCTCTTTTTTCTGCCGCTGTGTTTTGAATAATTTTTTCCCTTCCCCTCCCTCTGGTTCTTAAAGGAGCCAGCCCTGAGTCAAGGGAGCAAAGGCAGACCACGGGGCAAAAGTTCAAAACCGGAGCCAGTCCATTAATATTCATGTTTCAATCTGCTATTAAAGGAAGGCTTTTCCCCCCAGCTCCCCTTTATAAAATCCCACTTTCTCGGAATCTGTTATTAAAGGAAGACGTTTTCCCCCAGCTCTCCTTTATAAAATCCCACTTTCTTGCAGCAATAAAAAAACACTGATTTATTTTGCTTCCTCTTTCTCGGTGTCGGTTTCGAAATCTTCTTTGGGCTTTTGGTCTGTTGGCAGGGACACTGGATTTCTCTTTAAATTCTTTCCACATCCCCACTCTGATTTTTTTTAAAAATTATTTTTGTTGCTTAAAGTCGTGCAGAGGTGGAGGTGGGAGGAGGCCTAAAAACCAGACTCGCCGCTTAGCACCTGGAACACTTAGGTTAGGAGATAAAATGCCCAGGAATCTTATGCAGGGCCAGGCGGAGTGGAGGTGGGGCTAGGAGGGAATGAGTTTGTTCAAAGCCTACAACAGGTTTCCTGTCTTTAAACTGGGGACTGGTGTGCGCCCGAAAGTTATTCAGAATTTTTTTTTAAATCCCCTATTTACTTACATTTGAATACGAACACAAGGATTTGGCTTGGTATAAACACATTCATAGTGCGCACCACGACCTGATCTCAAATTCTACCGGAGCAACCAATACAGATTTATGTGGAAACTAATCCGGATTTGCTCCGGCGTATCTGAGATGAAGGCTCTGGCCCGAGGCATGTTCAGTTCGGGGGCAATTTTACATGTACGTGTGGTGTTGTGTAAGGATTAGGGTGTTGTTGGGGTTTTTTGGTTTTGTTTTTTAACGCAGGTTTGCTCGGAATATTCGCCCCAGAGTAGCGCCCAGAGCGCTGCTGCCTGTCGGAGCCAGCTTACGCAATAGCCTCTGCTCCTTGCCTTTCAGACTTGTGCCCCAGCGAGGGGGAGAGCGATGCCGAGAGCAAAGATGAGCCGCTGCTGGAGGCCGGTGACTCCGGCAAGATCAGCACCACCACCGCGGCTGCGGAAGATCCCCGGGAGAAGGGCGGCAGCCCAGCCAAAGCGCCCTTCTTTGCCCCGGAATCGGCGGCCAGCAAGAGCAGGGACGGCCCCGGCCGGAAGGCACAGCCCAGCTGCCATTTCCTCTAGCACCCGGGGCGTCGGCCGCGAGGAGCTCAAAAGCCCCCTCCGGGACGCCCCGAAGGTGGAGGAGGCTAGGCTGCTGAGCTCCTTTGCTCCGCTCACTGTGCAGACAGACAGCCCGGCGCATCTGAGCCAGGGGCCCTTGCAGAACCTCGGCTTCCCCCCTGGCTTGGCCAGCCAGCAGTTCTTCAGTCCCTTGGGCAACGGGCACCCGCTCCTCCTGCACCCCAGCCAGTTCGCCATGGGGGGAGCCTTCTCCGGCATGGCTGCTGGCATGGGGCCCTTGCTGGCCACCGTTTCCGGGGCCTCAGCCGGAGTTAGCGGACTGGACAGCACGGTCATGGCCACAGCAGCGGCTCCGGGGGCAGCTGCGCTACCGTTTCATCTTCAGCAGCACGTCCTGGCCTCTCAGGTAAGCGCCCTCAGGCCTGGGGCGTCCTTTCCCTTCGCGCTGCTGCGACACTGGTAATCGCAAGTCAGGGGTCTGGATTGCCTTTCCTCTGCACCGGGGCTTGATTTCCACCCCTGCGGTGCACCTAAGGACAGAGCCAGAACCGACCCCCAGCCTAAAGGGTGCGGTTTCATACAGTGGCAATGGGTTGAAAAAAGCGCCAGGTGGTATAAAACCTACCCTGGAATGGGAGAGAGGGTTTTTCTTTTGGAGTCTTTCACTGGTATTCCCCCCTGGGAAAGTGGCGTCTTTGATATAGATCTCGGTTCCCTTCCAAACTCAATGGCTTGGAACTTCAGGTAACCCTTAGTAACCCCGGGTCTGTTGTGTGTGTGTTTGGAAGAAGCGCAGCGAATTTGCTTGGAGGTGTGGGAGGAATAGGTGCTAGCTGAAATCCATCAGTCAGCTCTGAGAGAGAATGTCGGGATCTCAAAAGCACAACAAAGTATGTTGGGCAAGAAGGGAGGGATTTCCCTAATTTCCATTAGAGACCACGATCTCTTTCATCTTCATAGGCCCACAGTTCTCAACTTTGGGTGCCTACAGTCAAGTAATAGAAATGTAGCCGTGTTAGTCCGATGGTCAGAGGTGATGGGCAGGGAGGTGTGAATGGGGGTGCTCAAGACCTTCTGGAAAGTCCAGGAGGCATTTCTAAATGAAGTGCTTCGACTTTTGGGAATCCAGGCTGCAAATCCTGGCTAGCAGGTCTGGCTGTGACCGTGGGTTCTCACTCTCCCAGCTGCTTTGCCTTTGACATACAGGCCTGTGGGTGAGTCCCCTGTGCCATAAAACAAACCTCCCCCACCCACCCACCATTACCAACCGGGGGCATGATTTGTGGCAAGCTGAGTCAGCGGTGTTTTCTCTCGGGCTCTTTTGGTTGCATAGGAACTTGGGCAAAAGAGTGAAAACCACTGACGGTTTCCCCTCCCCCTCTTTGCTTCTGTTTTCCTTTTCCAGGACCTGGCCATGTCTCCCTTCGGAAGCTTCTTCCCCTATCCCTATACCTACCTCCGCAGCCACCAGCTCGGTGCACCGGCATCCTTTCCTCAGCGCAGTGCGCCCCCGACTGAGGTACAGCCCCTACTCCATACCTGTGCCCCTGCCAGACAGCAGCAGCCTCCTGACCACTGCTCTCCCCAGCGTGGCCAGCAGCACAGGGGAAGGCAAATCGAGCAACATGGCAGAGTCCGTAGCTTTGGACTCTGGCTCAGAACTCAACAGCAGGTCCTCCACTCTCTCCTCGGGATCCGTGTCCTTGTCCCCTAAACTCTGCTCTGAAAAGGAAGCGACCAGCGAACTGCAGAACATCCAGCGTCTAGTGAGTGGACTTGAATCCAAGCAAGACAGATCCAGGAGTGGATCTCCTTAATATCCCCTCCCCCTCTCTACTGTACCCTCCCTTCCACTCTCGAGGTGGGAGGGAGAAGAGAGTGTTAACACGGGAACTCCCCTTTATTGTCTCATTTCAAATCACTATTGCGGTGCACTTTGTTTGAAAGAAACCACATTGTCCTGCGTACTGGGCTGGCTTGTCAGCAAACTTATCTTGAAATGGGGGAAGGAGAAAGGTGGGGGTCTGGGGATGGCAGAGCTGGTTTGAAAGCTGCCATGAAAGAATCATACTGGTCATAGGAATGACATTTGGGCCAGATAGGTGGTTTGGTGAGTGGTGGTCATTTCTTCTTCACTGTGTAAAGCAAACATGGATTAAAAATAAAGTAAGAAAAGTGATTTTTTCCTAACCGCCCCCCCCATAAGTAACTCACATATCAGTTCTTTAAATATTGTTTTGCGGGTTGGGTTATTAAATATAGCTCTTGTTAGTCTATACTAAGGGAAGCTGTGTCTTTTGACATATTGTGATGTCTCAAAACACCTTTTGGCTTTTTGCATGTTCCATAGTAGTCTGCTTTTTTGGATGCTTGTTAAAAATCCCAGGGCTAAAAATAAAAAAAAAATATGTTCCTTACCCCCTTTCTTCCCACCCCACCCCTTTGTAGCAACAAAAATAAAAACATGTAGTTGGAAAGGGAAAAAAATATTTTATCTAAAAACCTCTGTAGCTTGACTATAGGTTTATTACAGCTTTTCCTCTTTTACTGTATACGCAATAACAGTTTAAACATAATCATGAGAAGAAAAAAGTGGACACTATTATTAAAACAAAGTATTTATGTAATTATTTGATAACTTGTAAATAAGTGGAATATGAATACTCAAAATTAAACTTTAATTTATTGACTGTACATATCTCTGTAAAAATGACTGCAGTTGGTTTTTTTTGTTTTGTTTTAGTCATTCTCAATTTCATATTTCCTTTAAAAATATACCTAAAACCAACAAATTAACCAAATAGACCACATTTATAAGTGTTCGCTTTTCATTTTGGTTCATTACCATACAAAAACTTAACTAATTTTTTTTAAAAAGAACTGAACGTAAAAGAAAAAGAAGAAAAAAATCAATTAACTTAAAAAAGAATGAAAAATGTGCCTTTGTAGCATTTAACCTTTTTTTGGTGTGTGTTGAAAATGCTACTCTCCATATAAAATTTAAAAATATATATATTAATAAAACGACAACACACTTTTCTGGTGACTTGGGGAAAAAAAAAGATGAAAAATCTAGGTTTTTCTTTATTTAAAAGACCTATTTTCCAATTCCCTTGTTGTGTCAAAATCACAATGGATTTTTACTACCGTTATGCTTATTGTTGTGTTTGTTCAAGTGGGGGTGCATATTTTAATGGCTTGAAAGTCAGGTGCTCAGAACTGGTTAAAATAAAAGTGAAGGTATATTTTGTGTTACAGAAAAACCAAGAACTTCTTTGACAATTATATAACTCTCCCCCTTTTAAAAGTCACTGAAGTTTCAATACATTTTTATTGAAATGTCTTTGGGCCTCATGTGAAATGCCTTAATAGAAACTTTCCTAAATCTTGAATTGGAGGGAGAACATAGGGTATTTTTAAAATATTGCCTTTTCTGTCTCTTTATTCTTTGCTCTCTATCAAAACTAAGATCTTTCATGTGAAATGAGTTGAGAAGACTCTCTTTTAAATCAACCCAGGATAGCTTGCAATGTTCCTGGGGAAATACAAGTTTTAACCAAACTGTTTAATAATACTTCCTTTTCTTTTTAAAACAAAAGGAAAAAATATGTAGCACTTTAAAGACTAACAAGATAGTTTATTAGGTGATGAGTTTTCGTGGGCCCCACAAAAGCTCATCACCTAATAAACCATCTTGTTAGTCTTTAAAGTGCTAAATATTTTTTCCTTTTGTTTTACCAAGATCAGGCTAACACGACTACCTCTCTACCTCTACTTTGCTTTTTAAAATGTAGATTCATATGCAATATAGTCAAGTCTTTTAATGGAAAAATATTAAATGACATTTGAAAAGTTAACGAGAATGGCTCAGCTATGATTTTATCCATCATAAATTAATAAAGCAACACTGAAGAATTAGAGAATAGAGCTGTTAAAATTTAATGCAAAGGCCACCTCAAAAGTTTTCAGGTGAAGTGCTTATAATGTGTTGTGGCATTACAATTGTATTTATTTCAGTCTGTTCTTCAGAGTAGAATAATTCTAATTTTGCCCTGAAAACATATTTTTCTTTTTCCAACTTGTCCTGTTTTATGGTTGTTGTAATAATAATAAAGACATAAAATGGCTGAAGCAGGAGCACAATTTCTGTATTTAATAATTGGCTTTGTATTCTAGTTATCCACCCCTGGCCTTGGAGGTCATACTAAGAATAGAAATAAAGAGAACTGGCAGCAGCTCTCTGTACATTTGCCAACTCCTTGATCACATTCTCAAGCAGTATGTATATATATTTTTCCTCCTTAAAAAGATGTTTTTAACAGTTAGGATACGTCTAGACTACAGGGTTTTGTCGACAGAAGTTTTGTCGACAGATACTGTGGACAAAGCTTCTGTCGACAAAGAGTGTCTAGACTACATTCAGTTCTGTTGACAAAGCAAGCTGCTTTGTCGACATAACAGTGTGGACGCAAAGGACAGTGTAGATGCAATAATGCCTTCTATTGACAGAACTCTGTCAACAAAAGGTGTTATTCCTCGTAGAATGAGGTTTACATACGTTGACAAAACTGCTGAGTTTTGTTGACGTTATGTCGACATAACTCAAAGGCAGTGTGGACGCAGGTATAGTTTTGTTGACAAAACCCTGTAGTCCGGTGTGACGGACCAGGCCGTGTCTGGGCACAGCTGAGGGCGTCCGCTCTGGGCGAATTGCTCAAATCCGGGGCTCCTTACAGCCCCCAGACTGGTGACCTCTCCAAACAGGCCACAAACCAGTCCCACAGAGCGCTTCAGCTGCCTGCCTGAAGCCTCACAAGCAAAACCCCTCTGACACCCC